TAGGATTTTTGGATGATAGGGACCAAACGAGGCAAGCGGGCACGCTCTTCGTTTCTGGTCTCTTTCTGTAGTCAGGCAGGAAGCCCTGGCCAGGCATTTGCCTGTGTGCTCTCAGGCCTATCACCCACCCTTCCTGTGCTCTGTTCTCTGTTGCAGAGAATTATGTTTTGCAGGTTCCTTCACCAACTTGCTCTTGGTATGTTCGACCGAGGGCAGTGCTAGGGAGTGAATATTTGTGCTCACCCCATTCATATTTTGATTTGGGATTTCCTAGCCTCCAGAACTATGAGAAGTGTGTGCTTGTTGTAGAAGTCATCAGGTCTAGGGCATTTTTGTTATAGGAATACTAATAGGTTGGACAGGGAAGTGCTGGCTGTGTCTTCTCCCCAGACTCTGCCTCCATGGCCCCAGTTCTGGTGGACTCCACCAAGGTCAGGCTCTCGTGGCCCCACCGTCTTTGTGCCTCCAGCTGTTGCTGCTTGTTTTCAGAGTGCCTCACCATCCTCTGTTGGGCTTTTTAGCCTTTGTTCCCAGTGTAAAAAACTCCCTGTATTATTTTGGCTCAAATAATTACATAAGTTTTTGTTTTCCTGACTGAATTTTGAGTAACGCAAACCCCAGATATACTTAATTTGAGATTATGGTCTAAGAAAACTTGTTTTTGCTGGTCAATATAACTCTGAGATCATTCTTTTCTTTTCATTCATAAAAAAACAAGTTGAAACACTAGTCCCAGTCTTTATAAAACCCCCTCGGGACTTGACTGTTTGTTGCTTGTTTGACTAAGGTGACTTCTCCCTCCCTTCTCAACAGTGTTTGTTTTCTAAAGCAAAGAAGCAAGGCCGGGCGTGGTTGTGCACCCTGTAACCCCAGCTGCCCGGAGGCTGAGGCATGAGGATCATAAGTTCAAGCCCAGCTTGGACAATTTAGCAAGACCCTGTCTCAAAATAAAATGGAAGAAAGGGCTGGGCATGGAGCTCAGTTGAAGAGCACCCCATGGTTCAGTCCCCAGTACCAAAATCAGTCAGTCAGTCAATCAAACTTAACAAATCCAGAGGACTTGACTGAGAAGCTCAAATATAAGGATTGTTTTGGATTATGCCTTTTATTTTTGATACCAGGGATTGAACTCAGGAGCACTCGACCACTGAGCCACATCCGCAGCCCTGTTTTGTATTTTATTCAGAGACAGGGTCTCAATGAGTTGCTTAGTGCCTCACCATTGCTGAGGCTGGCTTTGAACTTGACATCCTCATGCCTTGGCCTCCCAAGCCTCTGGGATTACAGGCATGCGTCACTGCACCTGGCTTATGCCATTATTTTTGAGGAAAAGTAAAGGTGTATGAATTGTAAAAAGGAGGGATCATTTATTTGACTACAGCCATGCTACTTTTGTCATCTTAGAATGGGTACAAAGTTAAATTTTCAGTACATAAAAATGCATGAATTAATACCCACCTAAAGGTACAAGATACAGGGGCATTTAGGGGAAGTAGAGACTAATTCTAGGACCAGAAACAAAGCTTTTTGCTTCATCTTCCACCATGCAACCTGCTAGTTTCCAAAGCAGCACTTCCTCTGCTTTTCATCGCCTACCTGGATCCTACTGGTTAATTAAGTCCAGAGAAAGGCCATCCATGCCTTCAAAATAAGTACTTCCTTTTAGCTAGATGATAGTGGTTAGTATAATATGGTTATTACAATTGGCAACACCCAACAAGTGATTGACTTGCTGCCTTTAGATTTCCTTGAGTGGCTATCGATGACATCAGTGCCTTGTTAACATTACGATTGTCGAAAGGATTAAACGAGACATGCTTGTGGCTGGCATATAGTAAATATACGGAAATTGCTGGCAACTTTTGTAAAATATCAGTCATCATCTAACATTTATTGAGCATGGTGTGGGAGTGGGAGTGTATTTTGTGTTAAGAATTTGACCTAAGCGTGGTCAAGGACATAAAAATGCTGAAAGATGGAGCCAAAACTTGAACCTAATCTGTTTGATGATAACTTATTTTCTTCAATCCTATGTTATCTGGAGTCCCATATTACTGACAGAAGGCATTGGAAACGTATTAGCTGTAGCATGGTGATCAAAAACCAAAACATGGTGATTAAAACAAACAAACAAATCCACTTTTGGATTGGTTCCCTCCATCAGCAGTGTTTCTTGAAAGCTCATTGTGTAAAAAGCTCTCTATAATGAATTTTTCAGGACAAAGAAGTAAGGCACATGATGTCTGTGAAATGTGGCTGAACCAGTCTCACAAAACACGGGTTGAACATGCATGTTAACCTGATGTAAGTGGAATGCACGTGGACCAGGGAGAGAAGAGGAGCCTTCTATAGTGGTTCTTGCAGGCTTACCTGATTCACGAGACAGGGTTTGGTACCTAATAGATGGCTGGGTTTAAACCTTAGTTTTGCCTGTTTTTGTAGCACGGCCTGGAGTATGTTTCTCTACCTCTTTGAGCCTCAGTTCTTGTGTATGAAAAGGAGATAGTGATGGTGACCTCACAGAAGTACTGTGAAGGGCCAGAGTTGTTTCTGATAAGCGTGTGTTCAGTCAATTCTAGTTCATAAGTACACGACCATGCAGGGAATGTCAGCATGCTCAACTCCAAACAAAGAGCTCTTAGGCTTTTAGATCTGGCACTTGTCAATTTCCTACTAGGTCTCTCCTCTCCCCCATTCTCCTCATAATTTTCTGGTTATCTGGCAACTGCACAAGAGGAAATCACATGTAGCTGCTGCTGTGAAATACCCAGAAAGTCATCTTTGAGAAAAACCAGCACTTCCAAGAAAAAACAATGACACTCAGTTCAGGGGGGAAAAATCAACAGCAACAAAAAACTCCTCTGGGATTAGTCACATCCTGAAGACCCAGAGAGGTTTGTGATTACTTGGTGAACTCACTAAAGCGCTGTGAAATCAAATGCTTCCAAATGGTGAATTGATGAGGACAGAAGAGAGAGCAGTGCAGTGGGTGAGGACTGGGGGGGGCGTGGTGTATGCTCCTGGGGCCTGGGACGTCCAGTAGGCAGGGAGAGGACGGAGGATGCAGGACCCAACACTCCTGTCCATAGGGCTGGATGAGCATCTTCCATCCAGTTTCCATAGGCCTGAAGTGACTCTGAACCTGAGGCTCTGCAGACTCATTCCAGCAACTTCCCAAGTCCTGTCTTTGCTTTGAACCATTGACCAATGTTTGGGCCAGGGCACTCTTAAGTTCATTAAGTGATTTTTCCAGAAGAGATTTTGTAAGATAACTGGTCCATTGGCCATGCAAATCTAAGGTATTGTGATTTGTTAAAATTTTGTTAAACTAATTTTAAATTGGTTAGTGCATTTTGTTCTAGAAAAACGTCTTTCTCAGTCCCGTGAGTACCGTGTAATTTCTTTCGCAAACATCCATGTGATGGAAGTGGAAACTTGTGCCATTTTATGAGCTGTAGGAGGAGCCTGCATTTGAGTGACAGAAAAAGGAAGAACAGGTGGAAATTTCTGGATGTGATTATAACTTTAGAAACCACCAGTATTCATGATGGTAACACGGGCCCTTTTTAAAGTTGAGTAGGCTTGAGATTCTACTAGAACAGTGTAGAGAATTAAAAAAGGTCTGAGATCAAACTGAGATCAAATGGACAAAGATCCCAGATGGATCCTGGAGGGAACTGTTGGGTGCTGTCTCTACCACCAGCTGTGTGACCTGTAACTTCTTTAAGCATTAGTTTCCTCATTTGAATAATGCTACTAATACAGTCTTGTAAGTTATTTAGTCAGCTGTTAAAGATCTTCACAAATATTTAGGTAGCTACCTAAATGTACATCTATACTATGATGATCTTACATTGAAATTTTATTCATCTTTAAGCAAGTGATTCTGTTGTCAAATTGTGATACATTAGAGCCAAAATATTCATGGAGGGGAATACTCCTTGCTTCAGTGGCAAAAATATGAATGAATTTAAGGGTTAGAGCTCAAGTTACATTTCTTCCATTTTCTGTCCAATTTGGAAAACTGTGATCAGGTTTTTAAAAAAGGGGCAAATCATCTCCTGGAGGAAAGGGACACTGGGAGCTGCATGTACATGGAGTTGTTCTCTCGTTGTATCCAGATGTTAAGATCCTCCTGCCTGTCAGTTTACAAGCTTTCTGTTGGTTGACTGCTGCATGCTGAGGGATGAGGTAGATAGACCCTGTGGGTGCTGCTCTCTGTACATCTCCCTGCACTGAAGAGGGGCTGTGTACCTTGAGGAGGGAGCTAAGTTAGCACTTACTGTGCACACGGCGGTGCCTGGTGATGGTGTTCTGTCCAGGAGTGACGTGCTGCCGGAAATATTTCATGACACCCCGTTGAACAATCTAGAACTTTAACATGCACAGAAATGGTCCATGGTCCTAGCTTCTGAGCCCTGATCAGCTGCGGGAATCGGGTTGAGAGATCTTTCACTGGAACCCGTGCCCAGGACAACCTCTGCTGTCTCCTGAGACAACCATCGTTCATTCTCTTTCTCTCTCCCCTCTCCATCTGTTATCTTTATCTGTTTCTGTCTTTTTCTTCCTCTTCTTCTCTCTCAAAGTATTTTCCTTGCCCTTCGCTTCTTCCTTTTCTTCTCCCCACCCCCACCCTTTTCTGTCCTCACTTTTTGGGTTAAGGAGGGATCTGCCTGATGAGGTTTGCTGGTATCTTCCCTCTGATGTTCTCATGGATTTTCCTGATCTTCTTGACTCTGGCCTGAACCATGCCATTCAAGAGGGGTGAACACTTCCCTTTCAGGGAGAAGGAGGATGGATTTTTAATGACCGTTCTGTTGAGACTAGTTTCTCTCTCTATGGAAAGGGTGCTCACTGGGCAGCTAAGACTTGAAGTCATCATCTCCTTCCCCAAGCCCACCGGGTGACAGTGTCACCAGTAAGCGCTGCTAAGCATTCACCTCAGCCATGGATGTAGTCTTTCTCTTTGATGATGAAGGCTATTGTCTTTCTGATTGTAGATCGAGGAGACTCGGCTCAACATTGACAAGATCTCAGAGCATGTGGAGGAAGCAAAGAAACTCTACAGTATCATTCTCTCTGCACCAATTCCAGAGCCAAGTGAGTGTTTACTCAGCTGAGTCACCCAGTGGTGACCTTTTGCATCCGGGCAGAGGCATTCCTGTTTTCCTCGCCTCTGTGAACAGCAGGGAGGTGTCCACATCTCCCTGGACTAATGTCCACATCATATCACCTCTTTGATTTCTTTACCTTATCTGAGTTCTCACTGCCCAGCCGTCAGCTCTTCCCTTTATGGTCCCTTTTGAACCACTTACCCAGTCTCTCCTCTGCTTCCCAGCTGGACCCTCCTGTGGCTGGCAGTGACTCTTACTGCTTCCTACATACTCCATGCTCTGTCCCCCGTCTCTGCCTTCATTTATACTATTTCCTCCACCTGAAATGCTTTTCCCAGCCCCCTTTCTCAATCCCACCAGATCAAGTCCACCTTTCCCATGAGGTGGTCACGTAGGGTTCAGTTTCACAGGACTCCTGTTCCTAAGCCTTTTTTTTTTTTTTTTTTAAACCACCACAGAGGCAAACTTTTGTTCCTCTTAATAGTAGGGGGAATACATTTTGAGAGTAAAATTTAGGGCTCCATTTCCTGTTCCTTAAGAACAGGGGCAAGCCCAATTCTGTCATTTCACTCTACTTTTTTTCAATGACTATTACCTCAAGATTAAAGTTGGAACATTTTAGCAGAGCATATGGGAGTCGTGCCGGTCGGGTTCCTGCCCTCCTCTCCACCTTTTGTCCCACCCTGCATGTTCCCATGTTACTTATACTTTAGTCAGACTAAATTCTGTTCTCCAAATATTTGTTATTCCCTCTTGCATGTTGTGCCTGCTCCTTGGGGCTCCAATGCCAATCACCTTCAGTACCCGGTTAACCCTTAGTCCTTCTTTGAGACTCTGTCCTACTTTCCTCATCTTTAGAAGCTTTCCCAGATCCCTATCAATCCCTATCTGTGCCAGGGAGCCCTTTATAACCACCTCGTCAGAACTGCAGCCTACTCCAAACTGTATGTCAGGACTGTTAGTTTATTTTGCTCCCACCCCTCTCTAGACTTTAAGCACCTTGGAGGCGGATTCTACATCTTCTTTCTGATTCCTTAGTTTCTAGCCCCATTCCAAGCTTGTAGTGGGGTGCCAAGGACGGTTTTTGAATGAATGGTTATAGCTAACATCTATTTTGCTCCATCCATCCCAGGATAGTCCTGGACATGGAGTAGGTGTATCAAAAATACTTGCTTCATTCTAAGTTGATGAACCTTGACTGATATCTCTTTCACCTAGAATTCCCGCAGAATTCTCTCCTACCCTGTGAGATTAAGCCCTCATCATAAACCAGGTGGTTTCCTCCAAAAGAAACGTTCTCAAAACTGACTTGGGGAGGTTTGCTGAAAAAGCAGATTCTGGGGCTTAAACCCTGGGTATTTTCTTCTGTACATCTGGAAAATGGTAACTGGAGAATGCCTTTTATTTTAATCAAATATTAATTTTGGGGGTTGCAAGGGATTGAACCCAGGGCTTCATGCATAGGATCTAGCGTTGAGCTATGCATTCAGCCTGAAAATGCTTTCTAAACACACGCTCTCTGATTCTAATGATAGACTCTGGGAAACACATTAGGATGATACTGTTGAGAGCAGTGGGTGCCTAAGCTCCCACACCCTTTGCTGATGGTTGTAAAAGAAGTTAGTCCTTCCTTTTCTAATGGCTTCTACCTCCTCTGTTTACCCAGAAACCAAGGATGACCTTGAGCAGCTCACAACCGAGATCAAGAAAAGGGCCAACAATGTCCGGAACAAACTAAAGAGTAAGAAGGGAACAGGGGAACAAGCTGACCCCTGCCACCATCCACTCAGCTCCCTGCATGTACCTCCTCTGAACTGACAGTCACCTGGATGAAGTGACCACTTGTCCATGTTTGCTTATGGTTTGGGCACTGTCCCTGGAGTGACCTATGGCAGCCCCAGAAAGTCCCCTTCTCTTGAATCCTGACTGTAGTTGAAAGAGTCCAGAATTGAAGTTAGGAGATGGGAGCTGGAATGTGCTTCAGCTACTGGCCTGGTCCTTTTGCTCAGTCCATGGGTGTATTCTTATTGGTTCTGTTTCCCCAGCACCCAGCCGACATTGGAGTAGTAATTTTAGACATACATACACGCAGGATTTATTCAGTTCACAGATGTTTCTTGGTGGGCACCTCCCATTGCTGCCCACCACCTATTTCAGAGCATAGATCCAATTCTTTTGGGGAACAAAGGGTTTCCACAGTTCCATGGCTGCAGTCTGTATGCTCGCTCAAAGTACTTGGTGAGTACGTGCACTTGCTCAGATGAGAAAGCAGAATCACTGAGCCTAGCTTGTCATTTCTTCCCCCCCAAATAAATTACAGTAACTATTGTAATGGGTGTGGAAAGGGGGTTGTTGGAAGCAGCTTCCAAAAATAATAATGATAGTGTGGCTACCGCTGTGCTAATAAGCACTTTATGTGCATTCTCATTTAGCCTTCACGTTGGTCCTGTGAGGAATGTACAAGTTGAGCTTCCCTAATTTGAAAATCCAAAACCCAGAATGCTCTAAAATCTGAAACATTTTGAGCACTGATATGACCCAAGTAAGAAATTCTACACCTGACTTTATGTGAAGGATCCCAGTCCAAAAACAGATGCACTAAAAATATGACGTAAAACCCTTTAGGCTGTGTTTATAAGGTGTGTAAGAGAGAAAAGAATTTTGTGTCCTAACCCCTAGATATCTCATTGTGTGCAGGCAAATATTCCAAAATCCAAAAAATCTGAAATCCAAAACATTTCTGCTCCTAAGCATTTCAGGTTAGGGATACTCAACTAGTATTGGCATTTGTGTTATTTTATAAACAAGAGAATGAAACATAAGAGAGTATAAGTGACTTTCCCAAAGTCACAGAGCTGGTCAGAAGCAGGGCAAGGATTTGAGCTAGTCTCTTGGTGACCAAGACTCAGACCTGGTATTGTGTGGTAAAGGCTAATGAAAGCAGGTCTGTGGCTCACATGAGCTGACCTTGAGGATTACTCCTCCCTGTCGTTCCCCCTTCATGGGTGTTGTGTGTGAGCATGGGGGGGAGGTATGTTTCTTAGAAAGAAGAGGAGATGCATTGCCGGAATGACCTTCTTCTCATTCCAGGCATGGAGAGGCATATTGAAGAAGATGAAATCCGCTCATCAGCAGACCTTCGGATTCGGAAATCTCAGGTAAAGTTGTCCCTGATCTGACAATCATCTTCTCCAGTTCTTATTTTCTTTCTTTTTCTTAAGCTGTGGAGTCTTTTTTAACAAAAATTACAATTCTTATTTGGAACTCGATATGAAAAAACTGCTAAAGTCGAACTATCCAGGTTGAAGCAGGGGTCATGGCTAGAGTCCAGCCCCTTTGGGCCCTTTTCTCACACTCTCCTTCTCTAAGGGGGGCCTTAAGAACTTCCCAAGACTCCCCAAAGCAATGTTAGTGCCTCCTTGTTTCACAGGCAAAGAAACTGAGGTCTTTTTTGAAAAGACTGTTAGTCATTAGTTCAGTTTGGAGCCAGGAACTTGGGGGATCATCTGTATCCTTCAGGAGCTGCATGACATTCAAGTGGCCGTGGAACAAGTATCCAGCTGGAAACAAGTGAGGAAGAGCAAGAGGCTGGTGAATCTCTAGTCAGTTTTACCGTGACTGAATTTGCCTGGTGGTAGTGGATTTGGATAAAATAGAGATAATGGTGATTTTGCAAAAGGCAAACAAATAAGGCTTATTTCTGAGAGGTAGGCAAGGAGTAAAAGTTATTATGAAGGTTTGAGCTGAAGCATCCAGGGCTACTAGAGAATGTATCTACCAATAAGTAAAGAAAGTTGAGGTGACAAGTTAAAGTAAGAACTCAAGGATCTTCGGTAGCATGACCTGTGGGAAGGGAGGCTGACAGCTTTAGAAAACAAGCCAGGGGTGTGTCAGAAAACTTCTACTAGTCCAGGTAGTTGTAGGGCTCCAGGATTCCCAGAGATGGTCTCCTTTTGCCTCTTAATTACCATGTGAGGTCAGGAGGATAGACAGATACTGCAACCATGCTTTGGAATAGCAGTAGACTTATCCAGTGATCCAAGCTAGGAAGTAAAAAAAAATATCATACTTGGTCTTTTGAGTCCCAGCCTAGTGCTGCTGTAGATGAGGCTGTGGGGGGTGGGGTGGGGAAGAGAAGAAGCTCTATAGCAGTTGTGCACCTTTTCCCTCCCTCACTTCCGGGGGACATAACTCATCTAACATTGTTTCCACAGCACTCCGTCCTCTCTCGGAAGTTTGTGGAGGTGATGACCAAGTACAATGAGGCTCAGGTGGACTTTCGTGAACGCAGCAAAGGGCGAATCCAGCGGCAGCTTGAAATTAGTATGTGTTTAAGGTTTGGCGTGTGACCCTCCTCCCTCTTTTCCTACTATGTGATTGTCCATTCCAAGTTGTGACACTATAGGAGAACAAGCAGCAAGCACCCCTGCTTGTGGCTTCTGCTTGATATTTTGTGCCCAATCTCAGAGCAGATGTTACAGCATTGGCACATCCTGCATCTTGGGAAAGGTGGCACATGGTTGTCAGGTCCAAGTCATTTTATCCCAGTGGAGTCCAGCACTTTTTCATCCTAGAGGGGAAGCACGCACCTGCTTCCCCTCGTTTTTGCTGTCAAGTAGCAAAGCACATTTGTGAAATAAGAGCGTGGTGCAGGTTGCCATGAGGAATAAGGACATGCATAAACTGTGCCCTTTAGGAACTTGTGATATGGAAGGCAGGGCCCCCTGCAGGGTGAGTGTGCTTCAAGTGGGATGAACTGTATGAACAGGCATGCATGTGTGTTTAGGTTGTAGGCCATCCGGGGTCTGGGAAAAAGGGTGTGTTTGGAGTGGCAGTGTAAGGTTAAGATGGTCGAGGGAAGGCTTCCCGTGAACTGTACATTGTAAGGAAGGCCTTGTAGTCTGTAGCGTAGAGCATGAGGTTAGTACACAGCCCGAACTGGGAAGTGATGTGAGCACCATGATCTGTACTTTAGGAAAGGAGCTGCTATTTCTGTTATGGATGGATTGGATGAGGGGAGGAATCAGAAGAAAAACATCGGGAGGCTTTGGGGGCAGTGTTGTAGAGATCCTGGTCTTTAGAATGAAGCAACCAGATTCTTAATTTTCAGGAAACTTTAAAAATGGAGTTGTGCTTTGATCTTGAAATTGATGCTCTACTTCTTTTGTTATAAAGCTGGCAAAAAGACAACAGATGAGGAGCTGGAGGAGATGCTAGAGAGTGGCAACCCTGCCATCTTCACTTCTGGGGTGAGTCATGTGGCCTGGGAAGCTTCACCTGGTCTAGCAAACACAGGATAAGCTGCAGTTGCAGGGACATAGGGGATGTGAGGAGCCCACCTGGGTGTGTATGAGGGCAGCTGCAGGGGCAGCCTTGATTGCAGGGGAGGCTGATGGCCTGTCTGTGTGGCCTGTTGCAGATCATCGACTCGCAGATTTCCAAGCAAGCCCTCAGTGAGATCGAGGGTCGGCATAAGGACATTGTGAGGCTGGAGAGCAGCATTAAAGAACTTCATGACATGTTTATGGACATCGCCATGCTGGTGGAGAACCAGGTAACTGGCAGGGACGGAGGAGAGGAAAGCTCAGGTTCCCCCGAGAACAGCGGAGGAAAGGCGTAGTGGAAGTCAGGTGAGGAAGGGTGAACCAGGGAACTGCATAACAGGAGCAGAATTCCATAGCTCAAGGAGGTGCGCATTCTCATCAAATGCTGGCGCCTTGGGCCGCCTCAGCCTTATCTTTCTTGTCCGTTACTTGACTTCACAGTCATTGCTAGCTGACACAGAGTCTGATATGTTATATCAAATGCCTAGTTCACCCAGCCTCAGGATTTTTTTTCCCTCTTTTTTTTTTTAATATATTTTTTTTAGTTGTAGTTAGACACAATACCTTTATTTCACTTATTTATTTTTATGTGGTGCTGAGGATTGAACCCAGAGACTCACACGTGCGAAGCGAGTGCTCTACCGCTGAGCCACAACCCCAGCCCCTCCTCCTCCTTTTTTTTCAAATTAGAGATAGGGCTTCTTGGTGATGGCTTAAACAGTCTCCTCATGTGAGACTAATGACGTTGAAAATGTGTTCTTTTATCCAGTTAATAGTGACAATTTAGTGAAACCTAAAGAGGATTTTGTTCTTTTTTTTTTTTTCACCTGTGTTTTTCTGAAAATTTGGCAATTTTTTTGTTAAGGAACAAGAACAAACATAAGGGAAAAAATAGTAAAAGAATAAGAACAGAAAATCTTGGAAAACTCAGGGTGCTGAGTTTGGTAGGGTGCTGAGGATTGAATTCTGTATTACCTGCATGTGGGGTTAGTGTCACAGCACCAGATGGTCCCGAACTCTTAGGACACAGATATATATGCCACAGGGTCATAGTGCTGTGACACGTTTACCAGGAATTTCCAGATGCTCTGCCACCTGGATAGGATTGGAGACTGCTTCTTAGGAAGACAGTGCAAAACCTAGGTGAAGCCTGAGTGTGTCTAGCTATTTCTGACATCAGTTCTCTGCTCTGGGCCTGATTCTTACCCCCACTTCCTTCTGGTTTTGAGACCATTTCTCAAGTCCCTTCCTCCCCACTTTCTTTTTTCACCCCACACTGCCTTGCCGAGGAACGGGTTTGAGATTCAAGTGATGGTAAGTGCCTTGCTCTGTTCACAGTGGGCCAAACGTGATGGGGTTACACTGAGGAAGTCCTGGGGAAATGAGGGTAATTTCCATTCTCAGACACACAGGAATTAACCAGAATGGCCAAACATCCATGTCAGGAAGTAATAGTTGGGCAACATTTGAGAATCTTATTATGAAACAACCATCTAGGAAGGAAGATATACCCAAACAGCTTGGGTAAACCCGGTGTCTGACCTTAGGGACCTGGGGATTTCTCTTGGAGAAAGCAAATGTCTCCAACCTCATACTTATTGCATACCTACTGTGTGCCAGGCACTACTCTACAATATTGAGCAAGGTCAGTGTGTGCTGAATGAACTTTCAGGTCTGAATGACCAGGAAGAGGCCAGTACCCTGGTGATACTCTGAAAACATGAGATATATAGCTCCTCCCCATATACTTAATTTAGAGAGAGAGATATGGGTGAGGGATCCCTCAAGAGTATATTCATATGTAGTTAACAGGCATCTAGACAGTCTGCTGCACATGTCCAGCACAGTGCTGGTTATAGAGAAGTAGTTCAATGAACGTCCCTTGAATGAGTGACACCCATCAAGGCTGCGAAGTATAGGTAGTCACATGGGAAATGCAAAGATGTGACCTACAGAAGGTGGAGTTTCAAGGTTTCTTGATGCTCCTCTTCCCTAAAGGTTCTAAGTGGCTAGGGATGTTCTGGACAGGTTAACTGGGTGTGACTAGTGTCTATTCTCTGCAGGGCGAGATGTTAGATAACATAGAGTTGAATGTCATGCACACAGTGGACCATGTGGAGAAGGCACGAGACGAAACTAAAAGAGCTGTGAAATATCAGGGTCAGGCCCGAAAGGTGAGATTCTCCTGCTACCTTCAGAGAAGGGTCCATTTTGTTCGCTGTCTCTCGCTCTTTCTCTCTTCCCTCCTCCTGTCTCTGTTTCTGCTGCTGCCTCCTCTTGCACCTGGGGAAAGGGAACCATGATTGACCGGATTGAGAACAACATGGACCAATCAGTGGGCTTTGTGGAGCGGGCCGTGGCAGATACCAAAAAGGCTGTCAAGTATCAAAGTGAAGCTCGGAGGGTGAGCGCCTTATCCTCTGCTGGTGGTACTTGCCTCTCCTCTCTGGTCACCCCCACCTGTGTCTCTGGGCCCGTGCCTTTGAGCTCTGTCCTTGCCTCATCATACCCTCCTTCCCTCAGCCTTTCCTAGAGACTAGCTGCTCACCCTTCCTTCCTAGTGTGCCTTGCATGGATCTGGCTCACGTGCTCTCTACCCAAGAACATGCTCAGCAGGCAGCTCTGCAGGACAGACGCATGGTCCAGGTCTTGCTGCTAGTCCTGTCCTGGATGTAGCTCATGAACTTTTCAGACACTACACTTGCCTCTTCTGTTCTTCTGACTCTTTTCATTGTCTTCCACTCCAGTAGCCCAAGCCCGGCCCACTTTTCTTTTTCTCTGTCTCATACCTTGCACTGTGCTAATTGCTACGTACATATCTCATAGCTGTGGAGGCGTCTATTTTTTCTACTTTTAGATGAAACAATTGAGGGCCAGAAGTTAAGTAACTGGCTTCAGGTCATCTAGTAAATACAGGAGCTGGGTCTCAGATTCAGATCCCAATCATGCTTTTTCCACTAAACCTTGGTGTTTGCCTTCTCTTCTGGGCCTTTGCTGCTCAAGGACTTATAAGATGCTCTACTCATTGAGTGTGGGTATCCAGTTTGGGGAGCTTCTTCCATTTACTAATTTTATTTCTCATGGGCTCTGATATTTTTGTTCTCCAATGCCTTTTCTTCCAACTGCATCTATTGCTTATGCTGGTACTTAGGGAGCTGGAAGTTATTTTATGTGATGAACCCATTCAGTATACTGGGTCTGATAGGTAGAGGTGGACTTTAGGGGACAGATGAAAAGAAGTTAGAAATTAGGATTAAGCCAGGTGTGGTGGCACATTCCTGTAATCCCAGTGGCTCTGGAGGCTGAGGCAGGAGGATCTCGAGTTCAAAGCCAGCCTCAGCAATGGCCAGGCACTGAGCAACTCAGTGAGACCCTGTCTCTAGATAAAATACAAAATAGGGCTGGGGATGTGACTTAGTGGTTGAATGCCCCTGAGTTCAATCCCTAGTATTAAAAAAGAAAAATTAGGACTCTATAAAAATGTGTTTATACTCCTTAAAAAGGAATGCTTAGTCACTTTATGTCTTGGATAATTGCTACTTGGAGACCCCATGGTGGTGTCTCTTACTACATTTGTCCACATTTATAAGACTGTAGTGTGAACTGAGAGCTAATACAAGCTCCATATTTCCATCTGCTGGCATTGTTAGTCTAGAAGTAATTTAAGATATCCTAACTGATATCCTTATATAGAGTTGTAAGCTGCTGCTGCTTCTTTCTTCTTTCTTCTTTTTTAAAAGGAGAAAGAAGATTTATTGCTTTGCTAGCAAAGGAGAAACACAGGGGACTCCTGTCCCAAAGGCTGTGTTACTGAGATGTAAGCTGATAATTTGGATTGATAAGATAGATGCTTTCTATCAGAGATGAGAGGGGTTGGGTTTTAGATGAATTGCTTTTTTTTTCCTGTAATAATGATTTGTTTTTGTTTGTCTTATTCCCTTCTCCAGAAATTGATAATTATCATTGTGATAGTAGTTGTGTTGCTGGGCATTTTAGCATTGATTATTGGACTTTCCGTTGGGCTGTAATGAGTGGCCTGCGGGGCTGCTGCACTGAAATGTAAGTAAAGGGGTGGTTCTCAGGGACTCTGAACTGGCTTCCCATGAGGAAACTGGCCTGGGACTTCACATTCCTCTTCCTTCCTCTAATGACTGTCCTTGGGCATAATGAATTTTCTAAAACTTTTGGTAGCCTGTGGATACTTTCATCTCCTTAAAATTCTCTTCTCAGATCTGGCTGCATCAGATGGGTCAGGTCTCCTTTTGTTCCTGTTCTTTAAACTGTCCCTGTCTTCTGTTTTCTCTTGAGTGTCTCCCGGCATACCTGAGCATCCCATTAACACCCAGGTGGATGTGAGGGAGTCTGTGTCTTGGATCTGGGGTCTGTCTTCTGAATTCCTACACAGCTCTTGGGCTTTGCTTTCTATATCCTCGTCACTGTGAATGAAGCTTTGTATTGGGGTTTGGATCCTGTAGTTTTGTTTGTGGCTGACTGGTTTGATCTTGAATGAGGTTATAGCTAACATTTCCCAAGTACTGAGTTGTAGCAAACAATATACTACACAACTTGTCCGTGGATCATTGAATCTGTAGGATACTCTCATGGGATAGGTAGTGCTAATGTGCACATTTTAGAGAAATTGAGTCTTAAAGAGAAGTAAAGTTGAATAGCACTAAGTTCACACAGCTAGTAGTGGATCTAGGAGAGTTCTTTATTCTTTACTACATTTTACTTTGTCTTTGTAAAATAAGGTAGCTATTTATCATTGTCTACAAAGTCTGGAGAATTTTTCAGAGTGACTTTAAAATCAGTGCTATTAATTTTCTTAAAAATTTGTTTTTAAAAGATAGGGCTGATCATTAAGTAGCAATTAGCATGACAGAATGATCTAGTTATGAAGACTCTGTGACTTTTAAGATTTTTTTTTCTGAATAAAATGTAGCATGTGTAGTTTTTTTAAAAGCCTATAAAGTATAGAAGAAATGAAAATAGCTTTAATGTTATTGCTAGTAACCCTGTAGCATGTTCACACACATACTCAGTTTTATACAGTTCAAACTATATTATCTATTATTTGTGCCCAGTGACAAAATCATAAGGATCGTCCCCCACACAAATCTCTTTGTAAATCTAATCTTCAACATGAGATTGTGGATATGCTTTCAAATAGTTAACACTTTCTCAACATTGGAGTTTGATTTTTTTGTTATAACGCAGTGTGACTAACCTTATGTAACATTTCCCCCCTTTTTATTTCTTCCTCATTGTAAATTCACAGAAGTTGAGTTTCTGAGGTAATAGAGAGAAACATTTTTCAGACTTGATGCATACTTCCTTATTGAGACCCAGAGCTGCCCCTTCGTGTTTTTGTACTTAGTTCCAGTGTGTTTCTTCATTCCTCTTTTTTCCTTGTGACGAGCAGGTCTGAAAGTCAGATTATTAATCATATCACTAAACATACCTCTTCTTGAGAGAGAAACAGTAGCTAGGTGACCGGCTTCTCAGAGGCACTTAATTATTGGTGTTTTTTTTTTCCTTTTTTCTGACATTTGCCATGTAGTCCTTGATGGCTTCTTGACTGTAAAGATATTGAGTTTTGTCCTGAATCTTAACTATCTCATTGGAAAAGATGTTTTTTTTTGTTTGTTTGTTTTTTTTAAAAAAAGGTGTGATAGCTATCTTCCCATATCCTTGGTTGATAGATGCCTTCCAAATTCATGGTGCCCCTTGCAAATTCATGCCCATTTCCAGGAGTCCTGAATGTAAATGAATCATTTTTGAGGTGACTCCTCATGGATAGGAGACTAATACATTGTTTCTAGTTGACTAACCCCTTCTATAAGATGCTAATTTGCTGAAAAGTTGCTCCTCATGGTTCATTCCATATTCCCTAACAAAGTCAACACTTACATTACCTAGGTTTGGACACCCTCATCCTTGCCACCTGAGGGGACGAGGTCTCTGAATAGGAGGGAATGAAGGCAAGCTGGGACTATGCTCCCTGGACATAGATCAGCTATAGCTCTAAGATACTATCAATATCCCCAATTTAGATGGGGAAACTCTTTGAAGCTCAGTGAAGTTAAGAAATTGGCCAAGCTTATGTAGATTATAAGGTGGAGCAGTCATAATATGACATTAGAACTTTCCCATATTCTTTTCATTTTGCCCTTCTGCTTTCTAAAGGGCATAGAAATTCGAGTACCAGAAGGCTCTGGAACCTAGTATTCAAGAGGGGAGCCAGAGAACTGATGTTTTTAGCCAGCAGTGATTGCCCCCACCCAAGTCTTCCCAATATTGTGACAGCCTGTCTCTCTCACACAGACTTATACAAGGCCCACAGAATTTGCTTTCTGTTGCTCCCTTAGTTGGGATCTTTGTTCTTTTGCAGTGGAATATTTAATCCCAGGCCCTATCTGGGTTTGTTGGTTGGCTTTCTTTTTTTGTATTTTTTATATTCTTTTGCAGTTGCTTCTGATCATTGTACCTTCCAGGGTTGTGAGTGGTTTCTCCTGTTGCTCCTCCTCCTCATATGGTACGCTGATCAGCTCCTCTCCCCGCCTCTCTTAGAACCTGATTTCACTCCAGCCTGGTGGGACCACCTTTATCTTCAGATGGGAATGGAGTCTGAATGGCCTTCCTGAGAGCAAAGGGAACCCGTTCCTTTGTTTCCTTGTAACCATCCTTGGACCTGACTCAGCAATCAATCTAGCCCTGGAGGAATCTAACCTACCTGATGCAACCCCAAGTTCTCCTCAAAACCAACTCCTGCCCCAGCAACTGAAGTACCTTTCCTCCTGGACCATATGAACTGACCCAGATTTTTCCCTCCTGTGGTGTGTCAAATTATGCCTTGCACCTTGGAAATCCCATGTGAGACTATCCCAAGGTGCTGCATCTTCTACCTCATGGAGTATACTCCCAGAAATTACAGTGTATTTTTCTAGGGGAGTATCTTTAACAAAGCAGATGGATTCTTCTAAATTTGGCAACAATAGGGTTTAGATGGGAGACTTCTGCATGGCAGGATGCCAGTCCTGTCGGTCCTGAAAACATGAGTGACTGGCAGATGCCATTTTGGTCCAAAAAGTTGACTTGCTTGAAATTCAACTTCAAATTAAGCTTTTAATAAGATCAACCTGGGGGCCAATTTGGTCTTTCTCTAGGTTGTGTTCTCATGTTTACTCAAAGAGGGACCAAGATGATAGTCATCTGAGGTTGCCATTTTCCAAGGCTGAGGATTTGGAATATTTGTTTCCCTATGAATTTTGGAAACTGGCTTTTCACCTTTGGAGTGACTCTTTGTGAAGCTGTTGCCCTGAGGCCAAAATTAACCAGGGATTTAAAATTGGGCTGGGGACAAGGTGCTAGAGTCTCAGACTCTGAAAAGGTTTCATGAGGCTGAGTGTTCAGTCACTCATGTGTTCAGGTGTATTTTTAAAAGTGTGTATATGAGATGCATGTACATATATATGTGTCTGTTTCTCAGGAAATAGGAAACTAGAAAAGAAAGATACTATGACCTCAAAAATTAAAAAAAAAAACTTTTTTGAGCTAGACTAAAAATTAGATAAGTTGCTTTTGTTTACCTGCAAATGAATCATTGTAGAAATATGATCATCTTATGTCATCAACAAAGTTGTTTTCTAGAAGAGAACTGGGAGAATCAAATGAGATATTCAGACTGAGGACTGAGTTGATTTCTGGTTTCTGTGCAGCAGGTACAGGTGTAATGGTTTGACACCTCTCCCTATCTGCTACCTCCACTAGGCTTTCCCTGAGAACATCCCACAGCAATCCACATGACCTATGGGATGTCCTGTCTTAGATGGAGTTAGTTGGGAGAGACCGGAGACTACCTGCTATTGGGTGAATGAGCTTGACAGGTTCTTTGTTTTCCCCAGTTCTTGTCACAGAGGAAGCAACAGCCAGGAAATTTTCGTGTAGTGACTGCTAAGCTGTAGGTAGCCCCTAGATCCCTGTCAGTCTCCCTGATTTTGGGTACTAGCTGTATTTCAGCTTTGACAGTAATGCTTTCTAAAGAAGAGAAAGCACCCTGATCCAGGCACTGCCTATTAGCTTCCTGTGCAAAGGCTCCTCACTTCTCACTACCCAACACTCAGACAGAGCCACAGGGATGCCCTTCTCCCCATGGCTATGATGTTAGAAGACAGGCTGTAATCTCAGGCCTTTACTGTCATCTGAGACTGAGGCCTGGGGCTTAAAGTTTGGAATGCAACACATGAAGGGTTTTTGTATTTTTTAAATGTAAATTTGATTATTTTATTGCTAATTTAAAAATAAATGACTTTCTAATGATTGCAAATCAGTTCTGTCTCTTGTCTCCCTGCAAACACTTGGTGATCTGGTGCCACCATGTGGTGGTTTCTGTTCAGGTTTTGGGACTCTGGTGGTTTAGAAAGTTCAATTTTTTGAAAGTGGCTTCACTCCCAAAGAATGCAGTGTAACTGCACTTGAGTTTCAGAGTTGAGGTCCTGCCCACAAAAGAATTTGTTCATTCGTTCAGAGCACCTTGCTATTTTTCTGTGAACACTCCGGGTTCCAGAAGCCAGATCCATCACTCTTCCCTTCTGCTGCTCCTTTTCCCTTTGTACCCTCCTCCATGTTCAGAGGCACCAGTCTTCCTTTAGTCAGAACTATCTCCTTCACAGTGATGTCATTGCTCATGTGCTTTTTCTTTCCTTGTCTGGATGAGCAGAAGAAGATCATGATCATGATCTGCTGTGTTATCCTTGTGATCATCTTGGCTTCCACCATTGGGAGCATATTTTCCTGAAAAAGGTGAGCTGTCATCGGGGAGGAGGGTCAGGTCTGCTTTCACTAAACACTCTTGTGTTCGGGAGCATTCACTGTTTGTTGCCAGTTTCCCTAATCTGTGTGTGATGAGGTGCTAGAATAGGTAAAGAGTAAACTAAGGAAAAGGATGTTTCAGATAAAAATGAGTGGAGCTGGTAGCAGTCAGTGGGAGAGCAAGGAAGAAAGGAGGCAGAAATCTGTCCCATAACTGCACCTGGGAGCAGAATGCTTTGTACAGGTCAAATTGTTGATTCCTGCTGTAAAAATTGAGCCTTGGTGTCTGGGAATGGCAGAATGAGAAAGAATTAGCTCTTGCATTAGGTGGACCCTGAACTGGGGTTAGGATAAGATAGTATAACCTTGTGAATACTGTCTTACCCCTACTGAAGAGGGAGTTATTTGAAAATAAAATACCATGCTCTACAATCTATGATTTTTTCCCCTCCATTCTTCTGTTATTTCCTTCTGCCCTCACAGATGGATCTTCGTGGCATTTCCAATCCTTCTCCCACCTTTGTGGGGTCATCACTTCACTGCAGACTCCTCATCAGCTTCACCTCTTTCCATTAGGCAACTTATTATGACACAAGGCATCAATCAACTACTTATTACGTTATGCAAAGGGAGAATATATGCAAATATGAAAATGGGAGGGGGAAGGAATGAAGGAACAGAGGGCACAGCAATATGTAGTTGGTTAGGCAAATGGTTTAAAGGAAGGGCCTGCAGGGTACATCAATAGGCATAATGGGTACCTGCTTAGGAGATGACGACTGGAGCCCACACCAACAGGATGGCTGTGGAGGCAGTTCCTGTAGCACACCCAGTTCAACAGGGTCTTCTGTGAACTGCTGTGAACTAAGATCAGCACATCTGTTACTTCTGCTTTTAAGGCTCTTCTAGGTCTCACCCTTGACCAACTATATATCTTCTTCCTTCTTCAGGGTCCAACAGTAGTCTTCAAATTGGGAGGTACCAGGCCTTGTCTTGCTCACTGCTCTGTCCCCAGTGCTTAGCACAGTGCCTGCCACTCACAGGTGCTCAAATATCTGCTGACTCAGCGATCTATCATTAAGTTGTGATTCCACTCACGGATGAGTGCTTGGGATTGACTCTTTAAAGGCATCAATGGGAACCTTTTAAAAATTTTTTTACTTATTTTTTTTATTGTCAGAAGCTGTGAAAGCTGACAGCCACTGGGCTGATACACTTAACAGCCCCCCCCCCCCCCCCCCGCCCCGTTTTGTGTGTGTGTGTGTGTGTGTGGGTGGTGATGGTGGAGTCCTATTAGTAGCCTCTTTCCATAAAGAAGATGGTTGGTTGCAGGATGGCAGTTCACTAATAGACCCCCAACAAAAGAAACATGTTTATATCAAGACTGAACCTCCAACAGTCAACATACCATGCTCTGTAGTCCACACAAACAGGTGAAGTGTGAGGTAAGAAAGGAGGAGTAAGCGGTTGCTTGCTTTACTTCTTCGTGGTATGTATTGCAGGCTGAAACTGTTGGTTGGAATGCACCAGCACAGAAGTGGTCCCGAGGCTGTGTCCAACTCAAGGTTGTTCTGTTCCCCTTTAAAAACTATGTATATGTGAGTTCCAATATGAATGATTTACTTAGTGATTACACTGCAAAAGGATCACTAAAAATACATTAAAAATTCATAGTACATGACTTGTTGAGGACCACCCAACTGTGCAGATGTATACTTCTGAAAGTCGGTGATAAATTCTTATTTTCTTTTCTGGAGATGTAATTTTTTTTAAGAAAATGGGATAAAAATGACATTTTTATCAGTGTGCTTTCTATTAATTTTCAAAAGCAAATGGTTTAACATTTCTTGTAATTTGTGTTTCCTTTAGTTTGAATAGGGGCTATAACTGGCTAGCTCTGAAATATGGATTAATCTTGTTATAAACAGGGTGCTGGAACCGTGGGAATTTGAATCACATGGGGTCCTCATTCACCCAGCAGTGGTAATTTGTGTGCCAGATGGCATACGGCACTGTGCTAATCCTGCAGAGACACAAAGAGCCTAACACTCCCCTCCTTGGAGACCTCCAGACTAGGAGGCACCATGTAATTTCAACTTTTAAGTTCCTTTGCTAAAAGCTTTGTTCCTTGTCATATTGTCCAACATCCCCTCTTTCCAGATTCAAAGAAGATGGGTAGATGGCACCAATAAATATCTCTTGAATCCATTAACCTATTAAGTGTCATTATTTTCTTTGTTACTACTCCAAAAACATTTGTATCTCTAACTAGTAAATGTCATGGAAACTAGTTCCTGAAGTGTGTACACAGGAAAGGCAAGGGCGGACATTTTAAGTCAGACTTTCATGAGTGATGAAATGCGAACATCTGTTTCATTCCTGAAGACATTTATTTCACAATCCACGAGAACCAAGAACTTTGTTTTTAATAATCATTCTTAATTTCTTAAGGGATTAAAGGTGACCAATGAGAAGTTATACCCTCAGGTTACACTCTAATTTAAAAAAACAGATAACACACTGCTTCTTAGATATAACCTAAGACATACCCGGAGTCTTTAATGGTCAGGCTGTAGAGAAGAAAAGTGCAGATCCCCCTCTCAGCAGCTCACGTGCATACATTCCTTGTGCTCTCACTACACCCGTTCCGGCATGTAGAATTTGCCCCAGTATCGCCCCTTCTGGGTCAAGTCATATGGGCTCAGTACTTTCCGTATCCCAAGCATGTTGGCAGTGGCTATACGCTCAAAGGTCCAGGGGTTTTGGTTGTTACGTTCTCTTTCTTCTTGATCTTTCCGCATCTTCTCTAGGGTCTCACGACTCACAGACTTTGCTGGGAAGGGCAACTTGTGGGCAGCCTGGTTCAGGAAATGCTGTACCTCTCTGAATTCACATCGCCCACCCATCTCGACTATGAGGCGGCCAGCCTTCACGGGTGTCACATAATGATCAATGGCACCTTTGCCTCCCCCCATGCGCTGTCCAATTCCTTTGCGGGTAATGGGCTTGAAAGGGGCTGGTACTCGCCATATGGCAAACATATTCTTGGGGTCCATAGAGCGGTTGATTGTCAGGCGCATCATTTCAAAATGGCCCCAATGGAGATAACCACCTCCCAATGCCTAAAAGTAAATGAGAGAATTAGAAACACACGGGAACTTAGATGTCTTTAGTGGGTTTTATTATGTCTCCCTTTTTTAGAAACCATGCCTCAAAGATACATATGAAAATGTAAGTTCTTACTAAGAAGTACCATGGAGGAAAAGACTAGCATATGGTAATAAAAGAGTATGGTAGACCCATTCCAGTGGTGAGCCAGGGTAGGCCTCTGAAGAAGTGACATTTAAAGCTGAGGACAAAATAATAAAAACTAGTTAAGGCAAGAGAATGAGTTCCAGGTAGAGGAACAGTTTATGTAAAGACCTGACAAAGTGAAGAGCTTGCTGAATGGGAGTAAAAGCCAGGGTGGCTGGAGAAGTGGGCATGAGGTTCTAAGAGGTCAGCAGGGGCTATTCATGCAGGCTGATGAACTTTGAAATGTCTCCCTGCTGGATGAAACAAAGCCCAGTGCACCTGTTTGTACAGCTACTCAATTAGTTTTTATGGAAGTTACTCAACAAATAAAGGAACAGCTGCCTCATAGCTGAAGTTGTGGATAGTTTTATTTTTACTAAGAGTGTGAAGAGATCTCATGGTCTGGCTGGGCAAATTAGTCTCTTTCCTGCTTTTATATTATGGTAGTTCCCCCAACTCCTTCATAGTTTCTCTTTCTGTGGTTTCAGTTATCCACAGTCAACCACAGTCTGAAAATATTAAATGAAAAAATATGAAGTAAACAATTCATGAGTTTTTAAATTGCACGTTGTTTTGAGCATCAAGATATCCTTTTCCACTCCATTCCACCTGGACATGAATTATCTTTTGTCCAGTATGTAACTGTGCTAATTAGGCCATCTATTAGTCACTCAGTAGCCCTCTAGGTTATTAGATGCACTGTCATGGTATCACAATGCTTGTACATAGGGTTCAGCACCATCCATAGCCTCAAGCATCCAGTGGGATACTAGGAATGTATCCTTCATAGATAAGGGAGAACCACTGTATTTTCATTCTACATTTAAAAAGATATATGTATACAGGGTACCTAGTAGCCTCTATACATCTGTTTAAAGGGCAGCTAGTATGTGGCATCCCTGTGAGGCACTTCTAATACAGACTGGAGGAAGAGACTAGAATTGAAGACTTTGAAAATTTTGTTTGTTTTTAATCTGTAGCTTCCTTCACTCACCAAAATTGCAAAATTGCCTTCTGTGAACTCAGTAGCTTCAGTTGAAGGTCCCCGTATGTCACTCAAATTTTTAGGTTCTCTTCTTACTTTTGGCACAAGTGGTACCCTTTCAACAAATTTAAGCTTGGACTTTTCAGGGATGGAAATATCTAAAAGGAACACAGACAACCAAGAGTAAGTAAAGCTACATATCTCTAGAAAGAGTTATAACAGTAAATGGTAACTCTTAAGGAGTTACCTTTGGATAATAATTCCAAAGAAATATTACATTCTTCTTGTGAATGCATTTAGTAAAACTGCATTCTTCCAGCTATTGACAATGGTTAACACAATTGCTTCTAAGTCTTTGAAGATAGCAAAGTTTTAACCTTGAAGCTAATGTGCATTTTTTAACCCCACTCAGGGGTTAACACCTATTAAAGGAACTGTTTGGAAATCATTATTTCTCTTAATCTTCACAACACTTTTATAGCCTTGGTATTTTTTTTTTTAAACATTTAACACACATAAAGGTCAGTTAACTATCTGAAAATGAATGCATGAGACAAATACATCACTATCACCCAGGTCAAGAAATATAATTTAAGGTAGAAAGTGTTTTTAATCTCTAATTTATAGATGAAGAACCTTAGGCCTGGAGATGTTTTGTAATTTGGTCTAGACTATCCAATTAAAACAGCAAAGCCAGACAATATGATTCTTTTTTAAAAAATAGTTTACTGCATCTCTGGATATTAATGGGATAAAAGCATATTTTATTGCATATAAAAATAACTAAGTTCTTCATCTCTGCCACGTTTTTGTTGGAAAACTTACAACTTAGGAATCTTATCAATCAATGTACTGTCTTTGATATATGTAGAGGCTGTTATGCTGAGACCTGCACAATTCCTAATCTGTGCCCCAGTGTACTGGGTGAGGTTGGGTGGGCACAACCTCAGACCAGACACTTGACTTCTTTATCCTCTTTCCTTGGCAATTTGAGGGGTAGGGAATCAAACATCTTGTCATTTATGTAAAAAAAATCTGAGTAGTAAAACAAGTATGGCTCCATGATGGAATCATAAAACAGAGGAGACCTCAAAGAATGATATTTGATATAATTATCAGTGGAATTATAAAATTATCACTATTCCAGGTTATAAAAGCTGCCTCCCAGCTTTCTCATGCAGCTAGAAATGAACTTGGTAATGCTTTTGACTGCAAGTCAGTATGTACTTCCCAGAACATAAAGTGGTTTAACAATTACACGTTGAAGACCTTCAGATAGCCACATGCCTTTAATTGTTCTGAGATTTCCAGTATATTAAAAAAGAATGGCAAATTAGTTTACAAAACTGAGGCTTATTGTAAACTTTTATATTTAATACATTAGCACTTTACATAATATTGTTAAATGATTGCATACATGCAATCACCTTTGGAGAGAACATGGAAAGTCCAAATTTGAGGCCAATTAGTTTTGGCTGATTGGACCATGGGCCACATACCAAGAATAGGCTATAGGGGAACCACCCACTGGCTTTTTGCTCCATTAAGAGCAGGGAACTTTTATGGCCCCTCATTATTTACCTCTGGTGTTTAGAACACCGACAATATAGTATGCCTTCAACGCATTATTTACTGAATGAGTGAATGGGGACAGATGGCACAAGGACACCCAATGTCTTCTATTTTCTACTGGGTTCCATCAGAGAAAAGACCAAGAGGAAAGTGATAGACAAGTGATAGACAAACTCTCACCTTCAAAGGATGGCACCGGAAGCAGAGTCTTTAGGCCAGCACTGGCGGGCAGGGCTGCTCTAGGATCTACAAAGACAAATAAAGTTGAACGAGGCGACAAAGGCAGGGCCAAAGGTACTTTTAACATCGTCTAGAGGGTTCCATTAAATGGGCGCTCAGGCTTCCCTGAAGAAGTCAGCCGGGAGCCACCCCGCCACATGGCTGTGCCCCTTTGGTACGGAACCCTAGAGCGGAGGTGGCGGCGGGAAAGGGCAGCCCCCAACCAGCCGCAGCTAGCAGTTTTTTGGATTTGGAAGAGGCAACATTGGAGGGCGCGGGGGGCGGGGGAGAAGGGGGAAGTCTTCTTTAGGGACCCAAAGGGACTTCTGACCTGACACGGACACCCGCAGGAGCGGCGCACTGGCGCGAGACAGCAGCCTCCACATGGTCGCGGGCAGCCAGGTTCCCTCCGCTACCACCACAGTTTCGTTCTCCCGGGTCCGGAGCGGCGCCTTAGCGCCAAACTAATGTGCTCAGGATACTGCTTAGCCCTACCGGAAGTTGTGTCCACGCAGGTCCACTCCGCACAGAGTCCCGCCGGAAGGGAAGAAACCCGAGCCCGGGAGCTTCGTTCCGGCGCTGCTGTCTGCGGGTCAATATGAGTCCAGTCCAGCAACTTGCGCGCGTTTTCTTGGCTTTGTGGCGGTATTCTACCCAATCCCGCGTCTTTTCCAAAGGCGGAAGGGCTCTGAGTGTTCTCCTTTGAGTACCTCACCGTTCAATCCTGGGGTTCGCTTAGCAGTCAGCTCCTTACTACTTACTGCGTTACGCCCCTTCTCGAGGGGAACCCTGGGGAACCACCTTAGGAAGATACCAGGGACCGGTCTTTGGTTTACCGTTTAAGAGTCTTGCAGTGTGTCAGACGAGGACATCCTGTTGTATTAGTCCTCCCAACAATTCCCCGAGACGAGTAAGTCATCCTTGCTTTGCCCATTCCATCCCTAGAGTCAAAGGATTTGCCTTTCTCGGGGTCACACCACAGAAAAACAGCCGAGTCAGGATCTGTGAGCCCAGCGATCCCAGGGAAAGGACAGTAGCTTAAGTTAGTCAAGTTACGGTGAAATAACGTGTCACCGTTCTGGGAGAGTGTTGGGTCAATTATTTTTACGAGCCCGAAGCTGTCTAATAATTGGAATGAGAGA